CAAAACAATTTTTAGAAATGTGATATAGACAAACCATTTGCTAGTCTGGCAAAAAAGAAGAGAAAATTCACAAATAACAAAAATCAGAAGTGAAAGAGGAGATATTACAATGTACCACAGAAATATAAAGGTCATTAGAGATCATAATGAACAACTGTATGCCAACAAATTTGAAAACTAGGAGGAAATCAATAAATTTCTGTACACATACAAAACAACCAAGACTGAACCAAGAAGAAATAGAACACCTGAATAGAGCACTAATGAGCAACTAGATTGAAGCAATAATCAGCAGTCTCCCAAGAAAGAAAATCATACAACTGGATGGCTTCAAAGCTGAATTCTACCAAACCTTTAAAGAGGAATTAGTACCAATCATTTTCAAACTATTCCAAAAAACTGAAACAGAGGCCATTCTCCCAAACTTATTTTATGTGGCCAGCGTCACCCTAATATCAAAATCAGACAAAGATACAAAAAAGAAAACTACAATGTACTTGTTGAACATAGTTGCAAAAATCCTCAACAAAATATTAGCACTCAGAATACAATAGCACATGAAAAAGATTATATGTCATGATCAAGTGGAATTCTTCCCAGAATGTGAATGCAAGGGATGCCAGGATATTTTAACATACACAATCAATAAATGTGATATAGCACATCAACAAAATCAAGGACAAAAAACATATGATTATCTCCATAGATGCCAAAAAAACACTTGATAAAATTCATCATCCTTTCATGAAAAAGATTCTCAAAAAATTAGGTACAGAAAGGAAATATCTCAACAAACCTATCACCAATATCACCAATATCATCCTGAATTGGGAAAAGCTGAAAGTTTTTCCTTAAGAACACAAACAAGACAAAGATATTCACTCTCACCACTCCTAATGTAACAAAGTACTAGAAGTACTACCCAGATAAATCAGGAAAGAGAAAGAAATAAAGGACATCCAAATTGCAAAAGATGAAATTAAACTGTCCCTGTTTGCCAATGACAATCCTGTATATAGAACAACCTAAAGATTCTAACAAAAAAACTCTTAAATCTGATAAACATTCAGGAAAGTTGCAGGATAAAAAAAAAGCAATATACAAAACTCAGTAGAGTTTTTAAATACCAACAGTGAAATAACAGAACAACAACAACAAAAAAAAGAATTTAAGAAATAAAGCCCATTTACAATAGCTACTAAAAAAAAAATACTTAGGAATAAAGTTAATCAAGGAGGTGAAAGATCTCTGTGATGAAATTACAACAACAACAAAAAAAAGAATTTAAGAAATAAAGCCCATTTACAATAGCTACCAAAAAAAAAAAATACTTAGGAATAAAGTTAATCAAGGAGGTGAAAGATCTCTGTGATGAAATTACAAATCCCTGCTGAAAGAAATTAAAGGCACAAAAAGATGGAGACATTCTATGTTAATGACTTGGAAGAATTAATGTTGTGAAACTGTCAATACTACCCAACAAGATCTACAGATTCAGTACAATCCCCATCAAATTACCAATGGCATTCTTCACAGAAAGAGAAAAAAACTTAGTATTCAAGCAGAACAACAAAAGACCCCTATTAGCCAGAGCAAGCCTGAACAAAAAAACAAAACAAAACAAAGCAAAAAACAAAAACAAAAAAACAAACAAAAAAACCCAAAGCATTACATTACCTGACTTCAAATTATACTACAAAGCTACAGTAACAAAACAGCATGGTACTGACATAAAAACATGCACACTGACAAATGGAACAGAATAGAGGTGCCAGAAATCAGCCCACTTATTGCAGCCAACTGATCTTTGACAAAGGCACCAAGAACATACATTGGGGAAAGGACAGCCTTTTCAAAAAATGCTGCTGGGAAAATTGGATATCCATAGTTAGAAGAATGAAACTAGATCTGTACCCCTCACCATATACCCAAATCAACTCAAAAAGGATTAAACACTAAAATATAAGACCTGAAACTGTAAAACTAGAAAAAAAAAAAAAAACATAGGGGAAACACTTCAGGATGTAGGACTAGGCGAAGACATTATGAATAAGACCCCAAAAGCACTGGTTACAAAAGAAAAAATAAATAAACAAATGGAACTATATCAAAGTAGAAAGCTTTGGAACAGCAAATGAAATAATCAACACAGTGAAAGACAACCTACGAAATGGGAGAAAATATTTGCAACCTATAAATCCAACAGAGATTAATACCTAGAAGGAAGAGAGAGATATTAGGAAGAGTTTCTTCAGGGCTCCAAGAAAAGAATTTGTTTTATTGTTGTTGCTGTTGTTTTTATTATTGAATCCTATATAAACAAACAAAAAAAAATGTGTGTGTGTTCTTGTGCATGTGTGTGTGAGAGAGAAAGAGAGAGAGAGACAGACAGACTTGGGAGCCATGAGGTAGAGAGAATTCTGGTGTGGACAGGGCTATGACATTGGTGAGAACTTGGCAGGGTGGCCCAGAGAGAAAGAGAGAGAGAGACAGACAGACTTGGGAGCCATGGGGTAGAGAGAATTCTGGTGTGGACAGGGCTATGACATTGGTGAGAACTTGGCAGGGTGGCCCTTCAGGGCCTTACCAGGGTCAAATCACTTAAAAAGGAGTTCACAGAGTCTCCCTCAGCAATAATTGAAAGAGCGATTTGGGCAAAAATCCTACAAGTGATTTCAAAAAGGTAAGATTCCAAGGTTAGGCTTATGATAAACTATTCAGTGCAATTACCAAGTTGCACTGATTTATAGGCAAAAGCATGAGCACACTTCTCAATGTGGTCCAGGAGAAGTGTTTCACAGGGCCAGTTTCACACAGCAGGCCTAAACCATGTGCACATGCTCAAGGACTGGGGGCATTTGTCTATCCTCAAAAGTTGAATTTCTTTGGAGTGCACCCATAAAAATATAGCATTGTTTCTTTTTAGGAGAGGATGATGCTGAATACTGGGTTGTGGTTTTCAGGGAAGTATTACCTCGGAAAATCTTTCCTTCTCCTGTTACACATCAACCTCACTTCAGACTTCAGTTGAAACTTATTGACATTGATTGATCACTGTTTCAATATTGACTGATTCATAACACTTCTAAAGGCTGCTGCGTCTTCTGACCTTGGCCTGGTTTTTGAGGCCCCCTATCAATCTACTCAACCCAGCTGCCTCAAACTCAGTAATCCTCTCCACAGTCTCCTTTCTGTACTGTGATCTTGCCCCTCCTTCTCTTCCAGTCTCTTCTCCACTCCTCTTAGCTCTTCTGCACCAAGACATGCCTGACCCTAGTGCATGACAGCTCTTTGTACATGAGCTTGCCTCTACAGCTCTACTTGTAGATCTCCATGGCCAGAGCTGCCACTTTTTCTATTGTCTCAGCAGTGGACTCTGTGATCCTTTTTTCCACTAATTGCTTCCCTGGTGGAAAAAATAAAAAATAAAAAAACCCAAAAACCTCTCCCTTAATTTTACCCTGATCTTTGTGAATGTTTCTCTCTAAAAAGCATTCATGTAATGTAAATAAGAAAAAAAGAAGAATCAAATTACTGTACATCTACTATGTGGCAGACACTGTGCTAGATGTACGTTGTCATTAGGTATCATAATAGCACAATGAAGATATCATTCATTTATTTGTTAATTTAACAAAGAATATGATATATACCAGTATGGTCCACAATATGTTTTCCATAAAATTTATTCAGTGTTATTAATTGTGGTTAAGGCACAAATAAAATGCCTGCTGCCATGAAGTTTTACAGTGGTAATCAATCAATCAATAAAGAAGCAAGTAGATAAACATCACAGATTATTTGAAGTCATGTAGTTATAAAGAAACATAGCATACCTTTATAAATTTAAGAATTAATAACCAAATACTACCAACAGACAAAAATCTATGAGGAACGTTTGCTATTTCAGACACTATGAACTAAGGCTGGGGATCGTTAAGTGGGATGCATTAATTCATGAAGCTATTTTGATAAGGAAGTCAAGATTTAAGCCCATGGTCATCTGAATCCTGATCTTAATATTATTTCCTTTATAAAATAGTGGATAATGAATGCAATATTATTCACATAAATGGTGTAACCTTAGAATATTAGCCTCTCTGAATTACAGGCTCTTCATTTAAAAAGCAAATAACAACCACCATCTATTTGAACAGTTGGGAAGATTACATGGAAGGAGTCTCAATGGACTGATTTGTATAATTTAGAACTGAGATTACTAAAGCATTGAATAGCTATTTTAAAAAGAACTTGAATTCTAAGCTGGCTTCTTTGTATCCTTAATAAGGGATAACTTTATGCTGAAAGTAAAGAAACCTCAAAACAGAGGCGGAAAAGAGGATGGGATGATCAAATCTCAGCACTGTCTAAATATTGTAGGGGTTTTAGGAAATATAGTTATCACAATAATCCAGTGAGGTGACATAATGCAAAAAAAGTCTTAGATAAGTTAAATAACCTGACTAACAAGGCTTAGAGAGACTACATAACTTAACTTTCTCGTCTTACATTTATGTATTGAGCATGTTACACGGTAGGTACTGTCTTAAGTATCTTACATTAATTAACTACTTTATTCCCCACCACAACATTAAGAGGTAAATATTATTTGTTATCCCCTTTTCAAAGATGGAAAAACTGAGCCATAAAAACATAGAACAAAATGCTCAAAGTCACAAAACTAGGAAGCAGAGGAACCAGGACTCAAACCAAAACACTCTGACTTGATACTTTGTGCTCTTAACCACCACCCGAAGGGTTGGAATTGAGATTCAAATTTACTGCAAGTGTTCTTTTCTTTTCCACTTGGACTCGCAGGAGAATATTTCTACCATGAGAGCCAGACTCCTCTCCAGCCCAGGAACTGACTGTTACTCTTCCTTCCAGGGCTTGCTGCCACATCAAGCAATTCTTCTCCATGTCATGGGTCACCAATCATGTACATGCATCTAAACAGCTATCCTACCAATTTATTTTCCACTCCAGCTTCTGCTGAGAATTCATACTGAAACCTTCTTCAAGTGAAGCAGTCTTAGAAGTCGACTCCGAATCTCCTTGGTTCTAGCTCCATAGATAATGGGATTGAGCACAGGAGGCACCAGAACATAGAGATTAGCCAGAAAGATGTGTACATGCTTGGGGACACGGTGCTGACCAAAGCGGTGGGTGAGGAAGGAGAAGAAGGCAGGGATGTAGAAAACCAGGATGACACTGAGGTGGGAGCCACAGGTTCTCAGAGCCTTGTGCTGGGCATCACGGGATGGAAGACGAAAGACAGCACGGAGGATAAAGCCATAGGAGATAGCAATGAGGATGGAATCCAGACCCATGGCCAGCAGAGCCACAGTCAACCCATAGACAATATTGATGGTGATGTTGGCACAGGCCAGTCGAGCAATGCCCATATGCTCACAGTATGTATGTGCCATGACATGGTGACCACAGTAGGGCAGTCGCCTCAGCAAGAAGATGAAGGGGGAGACAATAGCTACACTACGGCATATGCCAACAAGGCCAATTCTGCCCATGACCGTATGGCTGAGAATGGTTGTGTATCTCAATGGGTTGCAAATAGCCACATATCGGTCAAAGGCCATGGCAAGAAGAATTGAAGACTCCAGAGCATAAATAGAATGGACGCAAAACATCTGTGCCAGGCATCCACCAAAAGATATCTCACCAGCATGGAGCCACAAAATGGCCAGCATTTTGGGCACAGTGGTGGAGCTGAGAGCTAGGTCAGTGAGTGATAGGAGGCAAAGGAAGATGTACATGGGTGCATGAAGTGCATTGTGTGTGACAATGACCAGGATGAGGGCAGCATTTCCAGCCAGTGCTACCAAATACATGGCACAGAAAGGGATGGCAATCCAGAAGTGGGGAGCCTCCAGCTCTGGTATCCCTGTGAGGAAGAGAGTGGCTGGGGGACTGTTGTCACTGAAGTTAGAATCTGACATCCTCTTTGGCAAGTGAAGGGCTGTATTCAAGGGGTGATGGTGTGCATGCCCTGTAACACCAGATATTTGGTTTATTCACGTAAAATGATGAACTTTCACTGAAATAATTTATTTCAGACTGTGAAGAAATATTTATTGCTTTTCACTTGCTCAAGAATCTGAAAAGACTCTACAACATATCATTTATTTTGTAAAACGTCCTGCCAATTTCTGTCTTTAATAATGTTATTTTGAGTTCTAAATTCACAGCACCAACCTAAGTATTTATTTATCTCCCCAAGCTGACACTTCTAGATTTATCCCCTACCACATCCTGCACATCTTTCATTGACCTTTAGTCCATCCATATCTAGGGATATTATTTGTCTTTCATTCATGTTTTTTCACATGCCTAAGGAGTCTCCTTCCTTTTCTTTACCCTTATTATTTATTTATTTTTTTTTAAATTTCAGAGCTAATTTTGCTGCCTACCTGAGGGTTTTGCTTTCTAATCTAGTCCATTGTGAGTCTCAATTATTTTTTTTTTAATCTTTAATTTTTCTTTTTCATTCTTCCACTACCTTGCAATATCATATTGGACTGGAACCATGTCTTTTTGCATTTGTAACTTTCACACTCCCTGTGATTGTGTCTATACCTAGACATTTTTATCAATGTTCACTAAAGACTTGTTTCTGATAACTCTTAGTAACATACTATTGAGTTTTTGACATATTGATATTATGATGGATATACTTTTCTGTTTGTAGTGTATTTTCCCAGATATATGACAAAGAAAAAAATAAATCTTTTCTGAATTGTCTAGAAAGAGTTCAGACATCCTTAATATGCTTCCATGCCTCATCATTGACTATGTGC